AGGTGTGACGGTTTCCTTGGGTCTGAAAAAAAATATTAATAACATGGTGTCTGGATTATGGCCGAGGCATCAAACTTGAATCGTAAGTGGCGATAAAATTCCAATTTCGCTGATTTATCAACTTGACTTAGAGGTTGACTGGTAGAAGATGCCATGTGGCATTAAGTCCGCCTTTTATACCAACCAACATCTTATCATTTTGTGTAAATGTAAATAAATGGGTGTACTATTTATAAGTAGAGATTAAGGTTGAAAAAGAACAAGAGAAGCTAAGTTCCTACACACATTAATAAAATGGTTGTACCTACAAATACTAACTACCTACGAACTTAGAATAAAAATAACAGAGCCTACCCAAGTGATTACCTACCTATTATCAAGTTAGGTTTCCAAAGAGACTTAGACACAAAACTTCGCCATTGTAATGAAGAAGTTTTAAAGGGTAGGAGCAGAGATCTGAGTGTTAGTAATTAGATAAAGTAGGCACTTGATTGGAGAACATAATTATAACGGCAGTTCTAGGGAACAGATCAGGTAGCTGTGTAAATAGATTAGGATCGAACTTGTACTTAGGTCTTGCTCCTTTATATGGTTAGGTTTAGTCTGCTAGTGTATTTAGTTTCGATTCAGCTTTATGTGTCACATGGCTTAGTAGGTGTGTAGTGTGTAGCCTTCTATATAATAATAGGCAGGTAGGTGTCTACTTTAGTAGAAAGAAAATCATCAAATGTTTTCTTCAGCCCTAGAAAGAGCGAAAGGGCGTGTCAGACACTTATTTATTTACTAAAATTTATTACTTTTTCTCCTGTTTCAGACTAAGATTGTGGTTCACCTTTATGACAAATATTTAAGTGTGAGAGAGCCATGCTTCAGCACGAATGGGTCAGCTCGACTGGAGTAAAACGGCCTGCCAGAAAACCGGCGTGAAACAACCACAACGTTGTGTTTCACCGCGTGAGTGAGGTTATCGGAGACCCAATTTGTGTCCTCCCCCATTCCCAAAATCTCCAAATCCCTAATCTTAATAAGGTCGGCGACGCACTCGTAACCCCTCCGTTGTTGCGGGTATCCATAGGCGGCGCTGATTGCTTACCATTAGTTAAACCGTCAGCTCGTTTATCAACCTATACCATAAAATATGTACAGTAATAAAAAAGGGAGCGGGATTTGTACCGTCTGGAATGGTGTAAACTTGGCGCGATAGTGCTTGTCAAGGACGACGGACTGGCCCCAAACAGAAAGATGCCAATTTGAACAAAAAAAAAGATCAAAACAAAATATTTTTATTATATTTTTAAGAATAAATGTCGATAGGTGTTGTAGGTAATTTACGTTCTATAGTTTTATATCCAGCTTTGCTGCCTGAACTAAGCGCAACCCAGTGAGAACGAGTTCATAAAGTTAAAATCTACATTCAGATAGCCATTTTCGATCATAAATACCAGTTTTATACTTAACTGGAGTTCAGTAACAGTCAGGTTTAACTGGACAATGGTCGTCAATAACATGAATGTGAGGTGAAGGCAAAAAGTGCCGGTATTTTGAGGAGAGTTAGTGAGAAATAGCCCCATAAAAGCACGGTGATAATGACTCGTATGGTGTTTTCTACCGTAGCGTGGGTAGAAATAAATTGGTTGTTATACTTTTGCGTTTCCCTTTTTAGACGAGCTTGTGGGCGTTTCTGAACGTTTGAACTTTGTTTTGTAGAAAATAAGAGATATAGGCAGGTTGTTAAAATGAAGATAGATGTGGATTGTTCTAAGAGATTTCTATAAAACTAGCTATTGCCCGCGACTTTGTTCGCGTTAAATAGTGATTTCTTTGTTTAAAAACTATCCTATGTCCTTTCTCGAGTTCCAAACTATGTCTGTACCAAACTTCACAGAAATCGGTTTAGTAGTTTAGGCGTGAAGAAAAGACAGACAGACTGACAAAGTTACTTTCACATTACATTGATCTATAATATTAATTTGGATGTATTCTTAAGAAAACGTTTAGGTAGTTCTAAGATTCTAAGATTTTTTTTCAATTAAAATAGATATATTCTTTTTTATTGTAGTTAGGTATATTTTGTACAGTCCTAGGTATTATTCTGTTGACTTCTTTTCAGCCAACAAGCTGGTGAGCTGGTAAGAAGTAGAAGTGCAACACAAGTACCGTAAAACGGGGTGAATAGAATTCGAGGGGTAAATAGACACGGAAGAGGGGTGAATAGATACAAGGAAAATTCGCCAACATCTATTCACCCCTTTCGTGTATCTATTCACCCCTCAAATTCTATTCACCCCGTTTTACCGTTACATAGATATGTTATACCCTCACAAAACGCACGAAAAATGTGTTCCGCGCCAAGCGTGAGCACACTCACATACTTTTCATTTAATTGTACCTACATATTCCTTTTTCATTATGTGCTTTCTTTCGTACTACCCGTCTAATACGTAATTCTTTTTCTTTGATTTTATTTTCGTGTTAATTTGTATTGTGTACTCACTTATTTGTCAATTAATTTGTGTCTGTTATTGTTTGTGCTGAATAAATGTGTTATCTATCTATCTATCTATCTATCATATCACTACAAGTTAAAATTGTAGAAAACGGTTAGTATGATAAATCCAACATTATTCTAAGAGAGACTAATTACACTTGCATACAATTGCATCCTTTTCGAGTCTTTAATTTTGCGCGCTTTTATCATCGGACAATAACTTCTCTTCAAACATCCTATTCTCTAACTTAATTATGTTATAAGTTATCATAATTAAGTTAGTAAAAGTAATGACACGAACTCATGCTTAGTTGTTAGTTAAAAATAATAAAAACCACAGATTATTGTGAAACCTTTTATTCATAATAATATAGTGTACAACATATAATAATCACTTTTATTAATTCTATGTACAAAAGCAGACAAGAGATATCACATCACCAGTTGACATACATCTGAAGATTTTAACGAAAGACTATAATTAAAAACGAACACATAACAACAATCAAACCATTTTTTTATAAATAAAAATATAAATTAAACTAACTATTTTATTGCTCTACAGTTATGAAACACGTGCATCTCGAAAGAGTTTCAAATACAAACTACATTGATTGTACTTTTTGTTGCCTAGTAGTAAAACGAGGGTACTTTGAAAATAATAACACAGTATTTTACGCTATGTACCCATAATTAATATTTACAATGTATTTTATTTTTTTTGAATTAATTTTATGAAACTCATTTAAGGAACACAATAGTCAAATTATTTATTTAATCGCTTTAAAAATTATGTCAATTGAATTACAATTTTAATGCTAAAAGCAATGACGTATTATATATAGACACGTCATGAACCAACATCGCGGCGCTTAAAAACGGCGAAAATACTAGATAACTACTTCTACAAGTAAAGAAAGGGAAAGAAAATATGACATCGTATAGTGGAATGCCTTTGCTAGAGGGAGATAAATATACATCTTCAGTTACATCACAGGATAAGTAATAGTAACTACATTTTCATAAGATGGCGGCCAAAAGATGGCGGGCGCCGGCGTCGAAAAAAATAATATAAAAATAGGTTGTTTGGTGAACTTACGCATGAAATGACACATTTTTGTCTTTAACTTTTGGAGTATAATTTGTACATCGTCTGAACACACACGACGGCATGCTTTACTTATGTTTCGCACAGGTTTACACACACGATATAAATTAAAAACAAACGTAGCGTCGCTCGGCAGGTTGGTGCGGAACTAAGCGCGATGTTGTCAATTGCCTTCATTTCATGTTGTCATTTTAGAGCGCGGACAACGTATCTATAGATTTATACATCATTGGCTAAAAGCGAATAGGTACAAGATGCATTGAACAATACCAAATTGGCCCCTTTGCACTCCAGTTTTTAAAAAGGTTTTAATCAAACTTTTTGACCAGTCACAAATTCATATAAAAAGGTCCATATGTTGTTTAAAACAATTTGCAACCTGTAGATATAGTACCAGACACTGAATTGATACCTTGACTGCTAAGTGTAAGCAAAAAATAGTGACCAATAACTGACCGGTCAGTCCAATGTTTAAGTCAAAAAGTTTGTTAAAAACTTTACACTTCGAATTTTGATATTAATGTGATGTTGTATGTCTAAGAATCTAGATGATATACCATTCTACTTCATAATCAATACAATTTTTTTTCTATTACTTCAGTTCTCTCAAACAAAAATTCATCTAAGCGGTAACATTTAATCAGAAAATATTGTTTTAGAATCTAATTTTTTGTAAGCAAACGAACGATTTGAAATATTTAATCTACAATCAAATCACTGGTAGTTTTTAATCCACTTACGAAATGTTAATTCACGTATGTACTTAAATATCAGCACATAATCGTTTTAGGTGCATTCTAATAATATGAACACACGAACATTTTAGTTTTTGGTGAAAGAGAGAGAGAGAGAGAAAGAGTGCTATACTTGTTTCACAACACGTCAGAATTGATTCAAATTTAGGGCAGATTTTTTAATGGTTTAATAATAGTTATCTGGGGAATAATTAATTATAATGCTGTCGCATAAGAATTTTTGTATAACAGCAACAATTTTATTCCTCAGATAACATTTATGTATCTGACTATTGAAAAATCAGCCCTATGTCATATGCATTGTTCATTGGGACAGTTACAGGGTGTTTTTTTTTCTTATGTAATCTTTTCGACTACGGCGTTTTATTTTATAAGCATACCTATTGAAAATAAGATACCCGTGTTAGACGAGTGGAAAATGGACCCTAAGAATATTCAAGTCAAATAACTCACAAAGTAATATTGCGCCATATCGTATCTATGAGATGTGTGTTTTCTCACTGAGATAGTTAAATGCCGTAACGATACGGTTACGGTACGACTTGAATTTTAAGAACGTTCACGCGATCCCGGTTTTTATCCAAACTTTCACCTCTATAACCATAGATCTACTAAACCGATTTTAATGAACTTTGTTTATGCCGCGTAAACCATTTTAAAGGAAAATTACTGACTGCGCTGTGTCGAAATAGGAAAAATATGACAACTAATCTAGGTACTTGGAAAATGCAATCTAACAAGCTTAGGTACATCACAGTCGAATAGATACAGACAGTAGAAAAATCTTCAGACGTAAGCCAACTCCCAGCTTAGTCTAGATGGTGCAAGTGTAATCGTAACATGAAGATTCTTCTTGTTGTCTCCTCTCGTCGTGTGATATGCGGATGTTTGACGAAGATCCCCCAGACTCCCAAAGTCCTGGAGTCTCTATGATCTAGAGAAAGAAATCGTAATTGAAAAAAAAATGTAGGTCCTAACTTTACCGTACTTAACCGTTACTCCAATTTGGTGTACCTGTGTCGTGGGTGCGTTTACAAACATACAATTTTATTTGACATACACATTACACCCAGACCCGAAACAAGGATTTGCAGATGGAAAAAAAGAGTTATTCCTTTTGGGAATCGAACCCGTGACGCGTTGCATAGCTGCCAGTTGCCCAGCCACCACGTCAACCGTGCAGTCAAGGTATTATAAGCAATGAAGCCACTAGCCAATGTCGAAGTGAAAGCATTTATTTACGTAGTCCTTATAAACTGGTGTATTTTATCAACGACGAGGGGGCTTGTATAAGAAATGGTGGAAAGTAAACGTAAGGTTGACTGTTTCTACTGTAAAAATGGTAGTGCAAATATGATTTATAATACTTTGCATTAAATTGTTTTTTTGTTTGTAAGCATCTTCAGGTTGTCTTAACAAACCTCAGTTGTAAGTTCAGAACATGAAAAAAAACAGTAATATGCTGTAGAAAATTGGACATTACCTTCTGTGCATTAAAGCATATTTTTGACTGACCGAACTTGTTTAATAATAATTACAAACATTATGCGAATGTTTGAAATGGACAAAATTACTGTGCAAAATTGTTAATCGATTAAAATAATCACTGGAACATAATTAGTAGATTTAATGATTAAACAATTTACTGGTTAACACGAAACGGTATGAATAAAATATTTTGTTTGGCATCTACCGTTTCGATTATTTTATGGCTATCTATCTCTGTACATATATTAACGCGCTCTATACACTAAATATTGTCGCGCGGTTTCACCCGCTACTCGGCTTCTACAGATCGTACAGATGTTTGATAGCCTATAGCCTGCCTTGATAAATAGATTTACCAACACGAAAATAATTGTTTATTCGAACCAGTAGATCCGGAGATGCAGCTTTATTATATTAGTATAATATTTGTAATACCTACTTTGGCGACTATGGCTATCCCCTTAGCTATATTATATTTATACGGAATAAGTTATGCTGTAGGTACTGAAAAACGCTGCACGACCAAAAGTGACGTCATTACTGTTAATATACGTGTCTGAAAGAGACAGCAAGACTTCCCCACTACGCGTCCCCTTCTCGCAATTTTTTTCTAGAAACTTGAACAGACACTATTAAAATTTAAAATGTACCTAATAGCATTTGAACTCACCTTTTGCACAAGTTCTTCGAAAGCGAGGCTGATGCCTTCCTGTGTCTTGGCACTGCTCTCAATGAACAACATCCTGTGTTTCTGTGCGAATGCCTGACCTTGATCCCTTGGTACTGCGCGGTTTTGCTAAAGTATATACATTTATATTCAGTAATTGGTACATATGAAAGGATAGCCTTTTTATGCAAGGATGGAAAATTATCAATATGGGCTCTTTCTGTTATGGGCGGGGAGAAGGGAGTATTACATTTTTACTGACTAAAAACCACCCCTTTCTTCCTCCTTTTCTATGCTACGGAATAAGCTTTGCTCACAATCCCTAAAGACAAATTGTACAACCTCTTTTCAAACGCTTTTTTTTTCAATTCGCATTTACTCGTCATAGTTGGAAAACTAATAAATACAAGTACAAGTTGAAACATACCTACAATATCTACTTAGTAAAATTAAATAGACCATACAAAAGTCGTAGCAAAGTCATATACTTAATTGTCGTGTTACACATACCTAATGAACACAATTTCGCAGACACATTTATTTTGCTATCACGCCAAGGTTACCTTCGAAACACTAGTCAAAAAATACCCGTGGATTATTACGTACCTACATACAAAGCTGAAGTGAAAGAACAAAGTGATCAGATCATTATCATGAACCACAGAGGTGGATTAAACCGGATGAGTGCCTAAGGCAAGCGCCTCATAGACGATTCTAGTTATTTTTTTCTGACATAGACATACGCTACCGCCTCAACTCAGGTTGCCTTTGCAACTTGGCGTCTTAGGCGCTTCCCTAGTTTACCTAGCGGGTAATACAGTTGTGACCAGCCCCAAGTCATTTTCGACCAAGGTCTCCTTCTTAACACATTCAGTGCCCCCGACGCGTATGTGCGTTTCCTCGCACGCACATACGCGTCGGGGGCACTGAATGTGTTAACGGTCAGGAAATACCGATTATGCCCATTATTGGGAATTGACCAAGGTTGCTGCTACCTGTCTCTCACTGTTAGCAAATTTGAAAAGTATTTTAATAACCTTTGGTAGTAGAACATTGTTATTATACTTACTTTATCAATCTTATTGCCGACTACTAAACAGACTATGTTCTTCTTTGTGGAGTATACTTGCAGTTCTTCAACCCATTCGTTAAGCTTTGCAAGGGACTTTGGTTCAGATACGTCGTAAACTAAAATAGCGCCATGTGCGTCTCTGTAACAAAAATAAATCTATGTATGGAGAAAGAGATAATTATAATAATATTAATTGATTAGAGAGTGATCCAAATGTTAAGGCTCGGGTATTAACTCAGAGGTCAAAACTATGAACCATATCATCCCAAGTCAACATACTTACATAAGACAGTTTCGATATAAAATTTTACTATAATACATATATACCAATATCATGTAAAGAAATAAAAATTGAACATTACAATAAAGTAAAAACTTAACAGAGATCACATAAACCCAAAATAAATACTTTTTTACCTGTAAAAACTGGATGTTAATGTGCGGTAGCGTTCCTGTCCAGCAGTGTCCCAGATACCGAGTTTAACCTTGACTCCATTGACATCCATCACCTTACATTTATAGTCAACTCCGATTGTGGCCGGGAATGAAGCATTGTAGTCTCCGGTTGTGAAAGCAAGGATTATGCTAAAAATAATATTTTTTTTTAGATAGTTACAAAAAAAAGAAATACGAAGTAAGTATACTTAATATTTACACCTACCCACTTCAAATGGTAGGTTTGAAGTGGGTAGGTGTAAATATTAAGTATAACCATAAATAAATGTCCAAACTGTTACTACTGTTGTTACTTTAACTATTACTTAACTCATCAAACTCAACCTTACTATTGTGTCCCGAATTACTTATCATGATTGAAAGGTTAATCACTAATATTAAAAAAGGAATTGTAAATCTTTCAGTTTGTCAGTTCAACTTAGTTATTAAAAAAAAAATATAACTATTTTATCTGTATATGACTAAACTAGATACAGAACACAGATTAAACAAGAAAAAAATAATTTGAGAGGTATTCTGAAACAGATAAATAATCAAAAATATTTTAAAATAAAGAAAAATTAAAAATGAGTGTACATAAAGTGATGAATAGTGACAGTGAACATAAACAAAATTGAACATACTTTACATATTCAATACTGTGTGGTAAGACAATAAAATTGTATTTTTATTTCATTCACATGATTCAGTAATTTCAGTATCGTCATTGAAAATTATTGGTAAGTATTGTTTAGGAATTAGAAAGTTTATGTAGCCAATGTACAGATGTTAAAGTGCATATCTAAAAATAAATTAAAGTGTACACATGAAACAGTTTGCCGAGGTCACAGAGTATTAAGAGTATATTTACTTTAAAAAGATAACAGGAAGTTTGAAATTAGACCATCACTCATTACAATTTATAATAAACTTTTTATTTGATAATTAAATCATAATACAACAAAACTGTTGTAGTTGCAGATATAACTTTGTTAATTTTACTTTAAGTGTTACCATTGGCTATGACAAACCATAAATAAATTATGTTTACTTCTTATGCAGTCATGGGTGAATGTGTGTGTTAGTTAACTGTGGCAGTCATAAGGTTACTAAAACTTAATTTATTATGTTACATAAATTTTACTTAATTTTTTAGTATGGGCATAATAATATCGAAAAGAACTGATATGTACGAGCTTCACAATGTTGTTTTTCCATTACATTCATTCAATAAATATTTAACTCTAATCTAACTGATTACAACATGTACATTTAGTGAACAATGGATATTACCATTTACGGAACTACGCAACAAAACACTATGCACAGATAATATTTCTTTTGATATGAGTATACACTTGTTGAATTTTTTTCATGTCAAGGATGAAAAATATAATTGCTGATATAATTTGATTGTGTTGCCTACCTATTTACGAATACTAAAATTAATTTAAACTAGTGATTGATACTTCCGTAGTTTTATTATGCATTTCATATTAAAATCTAATCAGACATTATGACTCAATACTTTTTTAGAATATGGCTGAGCCTGTACAAAGGTTTATTCACAACGAATAGAAAGTTTTCTCACCTGGATTTACCCACACCACTCTCCCCAATTACTAGAATCTTTAACGTCGCAACATAATCTGTATTTGCCATTCTTTACAAAGAAAATTACGCCTAATAGAGAAAAATCACAGTCGATTCTATTATGACGCACTCGCACTACAAAATGTTGATTTTAACGTTAGATTTGTACACGTACACGGCAATGTTTGAAGAATAACACTGTTCTGAAACAAGTTCAAAATATTGTACAATAGTTTCCAATTAATTTCACGATTTCACAATATAAAATACGAAAACAATTCATGACAATTTTGACATGACAGTGACGTTAGCTCCTTGGTATGCCGTCATGAATACGCTTCGTTATTCGATTGTGCACCAAAAAAAATTTTTTGGGAGATTATTCAAATGATTTTGAGTTATGAAAATAAATATGAGAATAGAAGATATATTTTCAAAAAGTTATGTTTTAAATATTGGGTAGTATATAAGATAAATTTATTTGAGACAACTTACAACACTTCTCGATCATACCAACAGCTAAACGCAATTGCACTTCGTGAACTTATGTGAGCAGAAGGAACTTAGGTTTTAAGAATAATCAAAGTACCTATTACCTGTTTAGATTATTCTGTAATGCAGAAAAAATATGACTAGGTATTTTTTAATGACGATTTCAATTACTTGAAGGAGTAGGTAGGTATTTGGTATGTGTTGTATACCTAAATTAGGACTCATTGTATGAGTCGTCTGTCGCGTTTTCCCCATTAATTTCTTCCTACCCGCCATCTATCCATGTGCTTTTGCTAAAACGTTTTAATTTGAATTAAACTGGTTTAAATTGATTACCGATTATCTAATTATTAACTACCTAAGAAAACTGGCTTAAATTATTAAAAACAGCCCCAAACCTCACCCAGTAATAATTTTATTACCTACCTACTGTCTCATTTGCGACAACTAGATCAAGGCCTTTTTGTTGTTGAATATTTTTTAACATGACCCTTGCTCCCACCTCACAGTTCACGCCGACTTCGTTTATTCAATAATAAGAAGTCACTTCAACGTCAACGCAACGTATTGAAATTTCATTTTTCAAATACATCTCCAAGTTGATGAACCGGGACGAAGTTTAAAAGTGAAGTTTATATTGCTTTCGGAATGAAAATAATGTTTTCCACGGGTATGATATTTGCCCTACTTGACTAGTTTGTTGAAAATACCTAGCTGTTAAATATGAATTTGGAAGCATATGAAAGGCGTATTTTTGCAGGATATAGGGCAACAAGTTGACGAATCAGCTGATGACAAGTGATCAACGCATGGACACTTGCAGTTGTCGTGGAGGACCTACGTCTTCTGTAATCGCCCCCATCTACCTAACCTAAGATACCTACATGTTAAAACACAACGCGAATTGTGTTTCTTGTTATTACTTTTTTTAAACCGTTACCCGTTTTCTAGGAGGTGCGCTCACAACCATAATTTCAAATAGGTCATCACACCCAAACCCGGAACAACATTTTGTGGATCATACAAAGAGTTGTCCCGTGCGTGTCTTGCAGTTGTCCAGCCACCGCGCTAACCATGCAGTCAAGTCGTGTTATACCTACCGAATGGGCTGGTTCACTTGTTCGTGCTTGTTTGTACCTAAAACTCTAAATAATTATATAAATTAATCAGGCAGGTAGGGCAACTGTAACATGCCCGTATCTAGTACCTCGCTACTCAGTTATCTCTAGTTTACAACTATCTAATTTTAATTTCACAATTTGTACAGTATAATTATGAAGGGAGATAGATATCTTACGATATTTTCGGTATAAAAAATCACATTCACACGTTAAAAAATGTGCGATATCAACAGATAGTGCTGTGAATAGCTTGCATAGATCCCATTCACCAATATTTAGGTCTCGGCTCAATGCAGTACGGGACAAAACGTTTCTTTATTTCATTAGAATGCATTCATAGCGAGTTCTATTGTGCCACAGACTATCGCCATCGCATCGCAGCCTCCTTTCTAAACAATTGAGTTTTGTAGCGAAGAAAATGAAGTGTCTTTCCAGTATATATTTCTTGGCATATTTTCTAAGAGCATCTAAATCAATTGAACTGCATTTCAGGTGTAGTTTGATGTATTTTATTTTCTTATTTTTTTTCTTTGCAATTGTTGTTGATAAACATTGTGTTTACTGGCCCTTTGATTTAGTTATCGTAAGTTCGACTGCTGTTTTATGTTTCTTTATATAAAGGTAGGTCATGCCTAATCTGTGGGGTGGGGAAAAACTTTATTTTGTAATAATATGGAGTTTGGAACCATACACTCTTGTTTAAAGTCTTCGGATATTCAAAGTCATGATGTGTTTAGTGTATAAATTAATAAAATTATTTTTTTACCTTTGTAACTAGGTATCTATGTGCTGTAAAAATGAATAGCAAAACGTGTGAGAAAGCGTATAACTCAACAACGCGTTGACCAGTTTTGCCAATTTTTTTTTTGCTGCTGTCATTAAATGTTCTCTCCCAAACTTTACTTTAAGAAACTTTTAAATAATGAGAGTTTTTCGTCCGTTGCCTATGTACTTGGGCACCAGAGGTCCTACCATGAAGTGTTAAAGCGTGCATGCATGCAGCATGGTAGACCTAAAGAGGCTAAAATAAAAGGTTTCAAGACGTCATAGTAACAGTCGTTCGTTCAAACGCCACCGTATTTTTATCGATAAACATTGTGATCATTCGTTCATTCTTTCAATGAAAGTGATTTATCCCCGTATTGAATAATGAAGCGCTTTGTACGGGATGAGCGATGAAATGAATGGCCGAATTTAAATACCTGTATTTATAACCCTTTGTTAGGGTTGTCGCATCACGCTTTATATTTTATAGTCAATGTTTTGGGATTAATAGATAGATTTATTGTTATGCTCGTAATATTTGGGTAACGGAAGCACAGCAATAACAGTTTTAATTACAGTCATGTTATAACCAGTTTTCGTTTCAATATATATGACAGTTGACTTCCTAAAATTGTTAGATGGATTTGGTTGTAGGTAGATAGTTATCCGGTGTTGATTTTACAGTTAATCATTATAAATATCATAATTGTATAAAACAGAGACGATAGAATTTAAAAGAAATAATTCTGAATGTCTTTATTTCATAACACATATAGCTACTGGTCGTCATAAGTAAAAAATAGTACCTACACACAAAAAATATATTCTTGTATTGACATGCATTGTTACTGACAACCCTACAATTCAATCTTCGTTCATAATGAGGGTACAACCTCCCTCTCATGTAGCTTTATGTTATATCTGATGTCGATACGCTGTAGTTAAACTGGTACATTGTTAGTATCCGTATTACGTATTGTTGTAAGCGAGAGCAATGTTTTTGGATATTTTTTGAGTAAAAAAAGCTAAAAAGGTATGGCAAAATCGTTCTAGGTAGTTTTTTGTAGTATTTACGTATTATCGTCCATGGGAGCAGTTTATGTTGGTATGTGATTTTTACCGCTGCCTTTCTATCCCCTTCTTTACTATTCCATGTTTTAACTATCGTTTAAAAGTCCTTTTTCTATTTGCTCGTTAACTATAACGATTAACGGCTTATTCACGTAACTGTTTGACGAGGAACACATTTGGTTTCAAGCCACGCTAAGGGTTTATATTCAAAGTTGTTTTTCTTTACTCTCCGACAATAATTATAATAACTTTCTAAATAATCCAATTTCATGGCACAGTGGTTGATCATTGATCAGTGTTGTCATGACTGCAGTAGTCTAGATTGTCAAGGTCAACCCTTGACTGTCTAGACTTAGTTTCAGACCACCTTCCTATCAGCCGGTATTAAAACACTCGGAGTCGAGATATCGAGCCAAGTCCAGTTCTGCGATCTTCAAGAGATCAAGGCCAAACCGATACGAACTTTAAACAACCAAGAAACGATCGTCCTTCTTAAAAGGCTCCGGCAACGCGACTGACTCCTTCTGTATTGCAGGTGCCCATGGGCGGCACTGATCCCTGGGCAACGAGTGACCAGAGGGAACGTTTGCCTCCCATTCCAAAAAAAAAAAAATTATGATGTTGGTACATTGGGAACATTATATCAATCCGTTTTGAAGTTTTCCTAGATATATTTAAATAAAAACCACAAAAATAAGGTAAAAAATAATTATTGTCAAGTAAAACATTTTATCTTAATTTAACAGAGTTATATTGTAAAGTTAAGTAATACATCGCATTTGCGTGAATAGGTCGTCACTCAGCTTAATGCTGTGCCATGGCAACATTGGAATTCATTTTCCAAATTGCAACACCGACAGAGTTGATTTTTAGTTACGGCTTTTGGGAATTTTGGCGTAATGTCGTCCGCCTGTGAACACTGAGCTTTAAATCTGCCTGATTATGTTGAATTAAACTTCACACCTTCATAAACGTTTCAGCTAAATTGCATTGAGGATTTTTGGGACTTGGATCGTAGAAACAAAATGTAAATTGTCATTGGTTTGATATACAACTTTATAAAAATGGCTGGTTGACCTACAGATTACAAAATGGCATGCCTCTAGTGTGGGAGAGCCAACCTTCGGCAGGAATAAGTGGGCTCGACCGAAGTGAGGTGGGAAACAATCATAGCGTTGTGTTTTGTCGTGTGAGTGAGGCCTAATTCTTCCCCATTTCCCTCCCCAATCCTAAAGTCTCCAAAGACCTAAATCTCAGAAGGCCGGCAATTCACTCGTAACGCTTCTGGTTTTGCGGTCGTCTATGGACGGCGCAAATTGCTTACCATCAGGTCATCCATCAAGTAATAGCCTTTTGCCATACAACAGTTACTATCCACTTCCTTCACTTACGGCTTTCAATTATGTATTATGTATATCTGGCTGCACAGATGAAGCTGTAGCTTGGCAACCGGCTGACGTGCATGGGGGAGAATAGAGGTTCCGGTAACCCCACCTCCTCAAACAACGTAAAAGTTGTTTCACGCCGATATTCTGACGCCATGGTATCAATCCAGGTAGCCGGGGTTGTGGGGTTAGCGCAATGAGGCACCGCATCCTCGGCCCAGAGCAGGAGAAGGAACGGGGGGGTTTTTAATCAGTAAGAGTCTGACACTCTCTCTCGCCTTACCCTGGGCGGGTGTCATTGGATGATTTTCCCCTGAAAAAAAAAAATTGTATCACTCCAGTTGGGCCGGCCCATTCACACCTAAGCATGGGTCACCTATACACAGATTATAATACAGCAATAATATTAGTAAAATTTATGTATCACAGGTCCGGTTACATTTG